ATGGGCAGTTGTTAGCTTCCATGTGGGCGTTATGATTTGAACCTGGGTCTTCAAAAAAAAAATTTTTTTTTTTTTTTTTTTTTTTTTGCAGTCCTGGGTATGGAACCCAGGACCTTGAGGATGCTGGGAAAGTAATCTACCACTGAGCCACATGTTGAATTTTTTATTTTTGAAATAGGGTCTCACTAAGTTGTCCAAGCAGGCCTTGAACTTACTCCATAACCCAGGGCTGGCCTTGAACTTATGATGCTCCTGCCTCAGTCTCCTGATCAGCTGGGATGACAGGCCAGCGTCTCCAGGCCTGGCAGAACCTAAGTTTTTAAAATCTGGCTAACTTTGTCATTTCCTGACCATGTGACCTTGGGCGAGAATGTCCTCTCTCCCTCCCTCCTTAGTTTCCTGCTTCTGCAGAATGGTCCAGGAGAGGATGGGGCTAGTGAGGATGGGGCTAGTGAGGATGGGACTAGTGCTGACGACTCGGGTCCCTGAAGCTTTGGTCCTCAGCAAGGGGCAGGAGCTTCTGGTAGAGCTGGGTGGGCCTCAGGCTATGTGGGTCCCTGTCGCTTGCTGACCGCCCCTCTCTCTCCTCCCACAGCCCCCCAGCACCCCAGTGGATTATGAACGTTGAGGATGGCGCGTGCCCTCGGCTCCCCGTGCCCCCCGCTGCCGCCTGGTAGGATGTCCTGGCCCCACGGGGCCCTCTTACTTCTGTGGCTCTTCTCCCCACCCCTGGGGGCTGGCGGGGGCGGTGTGGCCGTGACCTCGGCTGCTGGAGGAGGCTCCCCGCCAGCTACCTCCTGCCCCTCCACCTGCTCCTGCAGCAACCAGGCCAGCCGGGTGATCTGCACTCGGAGGGAGCTGGCCGAGGTGCCTGCCAGCATCCCGGTCAACACACGCTACTTGAATCTTCAGGAGAACAGCATCCAGGTGAGTCCCTGGGGCAGAGGTGGGGGGTCGCCGGCAGTGGGTAGGTGGGTCAGGGGCAGCTGGTGCCGCCTTGACGGCTGTCCCCATTCTTCTATCCTGGAGTTCCTGATGTCCTCTCCTACCACCTGTGATGAGTTTTCACACAGCTGTGTGTGCGTGTGCGTGTGTGTGTGTGTGTGTGTGTGTGTGTGTGTGTGTGTGTGTGTGCGTTTCTACGGGCAGCACTGGAAGTTTTCATGGGGATTTTTTTATTGTTTTATTTGTGTGTGTGTGTGTGTGTGTGTGTGTGTGTGTGTGTGTGTGTGCGTTTCTACGGGACTGCCTGGCCCACCCCCATTGCACAGGACAGGGTGCCCAAGACGTGGAGGTGACCGAACCCGTCCTTCCACCATAGGCACCCTCAGCGGTGTTGGCCTGAGGGGGTTGCTCCAAACCTCAATTTCTTCCTCTGGAAAGGGGACGGAAGCCCATCCTGGGGAGCTGATTGGAGGACTCGCAGGGGTTGCGAGACTACTGAGGATTGGCGCTGGTGTGGCAGTCAGTGTAGGTTTTGAGGTGGCTTCTGTTGTGCACAGCCTGCCTGCTGTGGCGGGGCTGACAGAGAGGGCATAGAAGGTGCCTTGAGGGCTGAGCTGCTGGGAGCCACCCCCGCCTCATCTATGACTATGGGGAACAGAGGCCTTCATGAGGACAGAACTGTCCTGGGTGCCGCAGAGTGCTCAGCTGGTCCCTGGCCACTGGATGCCAGTCAAATCTTGACCCCATTCCTTCCCCAAAAGCGTCTGCAGGCATCGACACATACTCCATTCACCCTGGGCTTGGGAGCAGCGGGGATTTTGTCTGTCTCCTGGGTTTGCTTTGGTTTAAGGTGTCTGTCGAGACAGGGTCTCACTCTCTCCCAGGCCGGCTCTGCATTTGCCTCATAGCCAGAGGTGGCCTTGAAGGTGCTCTGCAGCCCTAGTTGGCCTCAATACCTGGGGACTCTCCTGCCTCAGCCTTCGTGTACTGGGATTACAGATGTGAGCCACCACACCTGGCTGAAAGCCACGGTTCTAAAGGCATCTGGTCAGCCTTCAGGCCTCTTACAAAGATGGGAGAATGGGGTTCGCACTTGTAGAAGGCTCCAGGCCCCCGGGCCTCAGCAGAGGGTCAGCAGCACACCTAGCACTCTCTGGGAAGAATGGAGACCCTCAGGAGGACAGGCCCTTCCTAGGGGGCTGGGGAGCAAGGACAGGTGAACCAGAGGTGCCTAAGAGGCCCAGGGCCAGCACTGCTGCGAGGACACGTCCTCCTCGGGCGCACCTTGCCAGCTGGCACCTCCAGCAGGCCGTAAGTTACCATGTCTGTACTTGGCATAACGTCCACCCCCACATCCCTCCAGCTGCGACTTCCCTGGGCTGCCCAACTCCAACTAGGGGAAGGCCTTCTGCCACCAAGATGGACGTTACCAGAGGATGAGGAAGCAGGTAGAGATTGAACACCCCCTTGTCACCCTTTTGGGGTTCCACACTGCACCCAGGAGGCCACTAAACTCCCCAAGAGCAGAGCCATCTGCAGGCCTTGCCTCCCGCTTCCAGACAGCAGGACGCTGGGTGCCTGAGGACAAGAGGTGCTCTAAAAGGTGGTGCTTGCTGGACACGATGCCGCACACCTGTGATCCCAGGACTTCGGAGGCTGGTACAGGAGGATTGCCATGAGTTGAAGCCACCCTGGGCTGCAGAGTGAGTCCAGGTCGGCCTGGGTCACAGAGAGACTCTGTCTCGACGAAGTGATGCTTTTAATTATCCAAATAAAAAATCACCCCCCACCCAATATAAATAGCCTGTTTACATTAGTTTTAATACCTTTCTGGGCTTATGTAAATGTATCTTATTTATTACAGAATGAATATGAACTAATTCAGGAAAACCAGAAAGCATACCTAGATAAACACACGGGGACAAAAGCCACCTGCAGTCCCACAGGTTGGGCCGGCTGTCCCTCCCCTCCCGGAGTCCCCAGGGATGTCCCAGCATGTCTGCAGAGCCCCCACGCCAGGCACTCAATAGCAGGATGGTGCATTGCTTCCTTGCATATGTGTGTGTGTATGTGTATACATCTACGTGTGTTTGTGTGTATGTGAATGTGCATATGTGTATGAATGTGTGCATGTTTCTGCATGTGTGTATGTGTATGTGTGCATGTGTGTGAATGTGTGTATGTGTATATGTCTGTGTGTGTTTGTGTATGTGTGTGAATGTATGTGCGTGAATGTGTTTGTGCATGTGTGTGCATGTGTGTTTACGTGTTTGTGTATGTGTGTATGTGTATATGTCTGTGTGTTTGTGTATGTGTGCATGTGTATGGATGTGTGTATGTGTATATGCATATGTGTGTTTATGTATGTGCATGTGTGTATGTGTATGTGTGTGAATGTGTATGTTTGTGTATGTGCATATGTGTATGTGTGTGAATGTGTGCATGTGCATGAATGTGTTGTGTGTATGTTTGTGCATGTGAATATGTGTGTGAATGTATGTGTATACATCTATGTGTGTATGTGTATGTGTGTGAATGTGTGTATGTGTATGAATGTGTATGTTTGTGCATGTGCATATGTGTGTATATGTCTATACATCTATGTATGTATATGTGTGTGCATCTGTGTATGTGTATGTATGTATGTGTATATGTCTATGTGTGTTTGTGTATGTGTGTGCATGTGTGTATGTGTGTGAATGCATATTTGTGTATGTGCATATGTATATGTGTGTATGTGTGTGAATGTGTGCACGTGTATGAATGTGTGTATGTTTGTGCATGTGCATGAGTGTGAATGTGTGTATGTGTATACATCTATGTGTGTATGTGTGTGCATGTTTGTATGTGTATGGATGTGTGTATGTGTATAGGTCTATGTGTGTATGTGTATGTGTGTGCATGTGTGTATGGATGTGTGTATGTATATACATCTGTGTGTGTGCACATGTATGAATGTGTGTATGTGCATGTGTATATGTGTGAATGTATGTGTATACATCTATGTGTGAATGTGTGTATGTTTGTGCATGTGTGTATGTGCGCATGTCTGTGAATGCATGTGTTTGTGCATGTGCGTTTGTGTGTCTGTATACATGTGTATATGTGTATGTGTGTGCATGTGTGCTTGTGCATCTGTATATGTGTATGTGTGCATGTGTGTATATGTATGTGTGCATGTGTGCTTGTGTGTATGTGTGTATGAGTATGTGTCTATATGTGAATGTGTATGAATGTGCTTATTTGTGTATGTGTGTATATGTGTGTGCATGTGTATGTTTGTGTATTTGTGTATGTATGTGTATATATGTATGAATGTATGTGTATATATCTATGTGTTTGTGTATGTATATGTATATGTGTATCTTTGTGCTTGTGTATATGTGTATGTGTGCATGAGTGTGAATGTGCATGTGCATGCATGTGTCTGTGTAGATGTGTGTGCATGTGTGTATGTGTAGGTATAGATGTGTGCATGTGCATGTGTATATACATATGTGTGTGAATGTGTGTATGTGTATGAATGTCTTTATTTGTGCACATGTATATATGTGTGTGTGTATGTGTGTGCATGTGTATATGTATATTTTCATATGTGTATGTGTGTATGTTTGCATGTGTGTATTATATATTTTGTATATATATGCATCCATGTGTGTATGTGTGTTTATGTATATGTGTGTTTGTGTGTTGTGTGTGTCTCCATGTGTATGTGTCTACACATGTGTATGTGTGTGTTTGTGTATATGTGTGTGCATGTGTATATGTGTATGTGTGTTTGTGTTCATGTATTTGTGTGTGTGTGTGTGTGATGTATATGTGCCTCTGCAAGTGGAGGCCAGATCTCAGGTGCCTTCCTCAGTCAGTCTCCACCTTATCTTTGGAGACAAGGTGTCTCTCTGAACCTGAAGCTCATAGGTCCCTCCAGGCTGTCTGGCCAGTAAGCCTCAGGGATCCTCCATCTTCACCTCTAAGTGCTGGGGTTTATAGATATGCACGACCATGCCTGGCTTTTACGTGTGTGCTGGAGCACAAACTCAGATCCCCATGCCCATTCAGCAGACACAGACACGTTGCCCACAGCTGTGGCCCCAGCCCTGTTTTCCTTGAGGGAGGAAAGAAAAGAGACTCACAGTGCTTTGTGCTGGTCTGAAATTGGGTTTGGCACCTAGTGATGAAGCCAGGAAGATCGTGCTTGGTGACACTAGATTTTTATTTTATGCATATGAGTGTATTGCCTGCATGTATATGAGTGCACCTGTGTTGTGCAATGCCACGGAGGTCAGAAGAGGAGTTCAGATTCCCCTGGAACTGGAGTTAAGGACAGTTCGTAGCTGCCATGTGGGTGCTGGGAATCCAGCCCAGGTCCTCTGCAAGAGCAATCAGTGCTCTAACCGCTGAACCATCTCTACAGATATTCTTCTCTGGGCCCAAGTTACTGTTGGGGTTTTGTTTGTTTTTGCCATATTGGGGATGAATGCAGCCCCGACTTGGAGGCTCTAGGCAGGGCTCCACCTCTGAGCCACACCCCAGCCCTTCACTGGGGGATTCTAGGCAGGGGTTCTACCACTGAACCACACCCCAGCCCCTCACTAGGGGATTCAAGGCAGGGCTCTACCACTGAGCTGCACCCTAACCCCTCACTTTACTTCTTATTTTGAGACAGGATCTCAGTCAGTTGGTCAGGCTGATCTTGAACTCACCCTATAACCTCAGTAGGCTGTGAATTCTTAATCCTCCTGCCTCAGCCTGCCTAGGAACTGAGAAATCAGGCTTGTGGTACCAAACCTGGCTGTTTTGGTTTTTTGAAACAGGGCCTCCCCTTGCAGGCCAGGCTGGCCTTGAACTCTGCAAAGTGCTGAGATTCCAGGCATGCACCACCATACCTAGCTTCCAGTGTTGATTTTATGACTACAATGTTCCTGTCATTGAGGAAGGACTGGTTAAATGTCAGACTTCCCATGCCCCTGAGTGCCATGCAA